GCGAGGCCGGCTTGTAAGGAACATGTGGTTTTGGTGGACTGGGAGAACCGAACGTAGGCTTGCTCGTTTCCACCGCAGACCTTGTAGAGCACACACCACTCTCCCACATCGTGCAGAAAAGCAATCCGGGGCACCGAGTGCTGGCAGAGTCAGGACCCAACTGGAGGCTGTGGTCTGACCCGCTGTCCTCGCTCTTTGGGAGACGGGTCTCCTGGTTCAAGTCTTGCCTCTGCCTCCTGTTTACCGAGCATCTCTTTGAGCCTCAGTCTGCCTGCCTGTAAAACGGAGCAGGAATACCTGCTTCTGAGCGGGCTCCGTTTTGAGCTCCTGCCCGACATTCTCTTGGAAACACCTTGTAAGACCGTTTCCTCCTGGCGCGGCCACTCCCCCAGCCCCCTCCCTAGTGTGATCTTCAGCAACCTGCCCAATTTCTCGATCTCAGTTTTCTCACCTGTAAAGTGGGAATGAAGAAAAACCTACCTCAATAGGGTTTTTGTAGGGATTAAATGCATTAACATTTGCAAAGCTATTAAAACAGTGCTTAGCACATAATAAACACTCAAGTATTAGCCATTGCTGTTGTTGTCATCTGCAAGACAGTGACCAATTTCAAGACATCACATTATAGAGGTGCATAACAGTGGCCCCCCTTTGGGGTCCAGGGTTTCATGAATTCAGCAGAGATAGGCCCACCCTGTGCCCAGCTTGGGTTGGATCCTGGCGAAACAGCAGGAACAAGACAGATGTGGTCCCAGCCCTTATAGAGGGTACAGTCAGACCTGGGAGGTGTTACACTACACAGTAAATAGTGATGTGATGTGGGGACACAGGCGACTGCAGCACTGAACACGGAGAGGTCCTAACTTGGCCTTCAGGTCAGGGTCAGCTTCCAAGCGGAGGTACCAGCCAAATGGCGGGGAGCTAGCTGGGTAGGATGTAGCTATGGTGTGATGCTGGGAAGCCTTGCAGGCAGTGGGAATAGCTTATTCAGAAGTACAATGGAAATAGCTGTGCCTGGCTGTTGTGTGGGGTATGTGGGGACCTTCATCTGACCAGAGCCAGGTGCCTGGGACTTGTTCTTGGGGAGCTCTGCAACCAGAGGGCTTCTCTCACTAGTACTCAGTGGGGCTGAGGGTGTGGGTAACTCCTTGGGCCTAGGAGCTCTACCTAGCAGGTAGCAGCCTGCCCTGCTCCATCCCTGGCTCCTAAACGCCCTCTTTCCCCGTTTCCTATCCCCCAGGAGGAGGTATCTGAGAGCAGCTCAAGCACGGACCCCCTGCCCCATGGCTACCTTCCTGATTCATCTTCTGTGTCCCATGGGCCAGTGGCAGGGGTGACAGGTGGCCCCCAAACTCTCGTGCACTCCAGCGCACTCCCAGACCCCAACATGCTGGTGTCCGACTGCACGGCTTCTTCCTCAGACCTGGGCTCAGCCTTTGACAAGATCATCGAGTCCACCATCGGGCCAGACCTCATCCAGAGTAAGTCGGGGAGAGGATGGCAAGAGTCAGCCTCCTGGGGCTTCCCTGCAGAGTCCGGAAGAACCATCTCTGCTTATCCCAGCTGTGCAGACACGGGAAAATAACTCTCCCACTCTGAATGTGCCACATGGCAACAGTAACTCCCGCCTCATGGCGGTGAAATGGTGTGAGGATTTAATGAGGCAGCACGGTCAAGTTCTTCGCATAGTGTCTGGCGTGTAATAAGTGCTCCTTAAATACAGAAACAGTAACACCTAACTTTATACTGAGGTCTGTTCTAAACACTTCATATTCAGTAGCTCATTCATCTTCCCAGGAACCCCAAAACTCAGGTGCTATTATGATCCTTGCAGTGTAGATGAGAAATCTGAGGAACAGAGGATGTAAAATAATTTACCCACTGTCACTAGCGACTGTTGGGCCATGAGCTCAGACAGTCTGATTCCAGAGCTCACGATTTCCCAAACGGTACCTGCTGTTAACGATGTGTGTAAAGGAAAAGCCCTGGGGTGGTCTGGAAAGCCAGCCCTGAGGAACTGGGGCTGGAAGCGGGCCTTAACCTTGGGAAGATTCAGAGGGGAAGGTGGTCAGAGGTGAGGCAGCTGGGATAGCCAAGGCATCTGTCTGACTGTAGGTCATCATGGCATCAAACCAGGCTTTCCAATAGCCCTGCCTTGGGTGGATGGGGAGGGGGTAGGCATCTGAGGCTCAGAGGGATGATGCAGCTGGTGTGAGGTCACATAGGTGAGCCAGAATGAATGTGGGCAATGACAATTGTCATTGTCAGCTGGGAATTCCCTCCCCACATCTCTATCTAGGCTGCATAACTGTAACCAGTGCTGAGGATGGTGGGGCCGAGACCACACAGTACCTGATCCTGCAGGGACCAGATGATGGTAAGACGCCAGGCTCCAGACCCAGGAAGCCCTGCAGTGGGCTGACTAGGGGAGGAAGGCTTAGCCACAAACTCACTGTGTGATCTGGCCAGTTTAGCCACTGCTCTTGGCCTCAGTTTCCCCAGTTACTCTTGTAGGGAGCTGGGTTCTAGGATCCCTGGACCTGCCTGAGAGGGACAGCTGTAGCTCATGGCCAGCCTGCCCCTCATTTCCCTTCCCTCTGATTCCCTCACCAACCCCCAGGTGCCTCCATAGCATCGCCAATGTCCAGTTCCACCCTAGTCCACAGCCTGGCAGCCATTGAGGCCCTGGCCGACGGCCCCACATCCACATCCACATGCCTGGAGCCATCTGAGGAGGCACGGGGTTCACCCAGCTCCCCAGCACAGCCTCCCCCAGCCTCCGGCACTGAGGAGCCAGATCTACAGAGCCTGGAGGCCATGATGGAGGTGGTGGTAGTACAGCAGTTCAAGTGCAAGATGTGCCAGTACCGGAGTAGCACTAAGGCCACACTATTACGCCATATGCGGGAGCGGCACTTCCGTCCAGGTACGTTGATAGCAGCCTACCTGGCTGGGACTGCATAGGTGGGGATGGGGTGCTGAGAGGCAGACATGGAAGCTTGTCTTTCCTCCCCCCCACCCCCAAGCAGCAGCAGCAGTAGCAACTGGTAAGAAGGGACGTCCACGGAAGTGGGGTACCTCGACCAAGACCCAAGAGGAAGAGGCACCAGAGGAGGAAGACGATGATGACATCGTAGATGCCGGTGCCATTGATGACCTAGAGGGTAGGCCACATGGCTCCCAGGTCTGCTACCTCCACCCCCATCAACAAATACTGGGCTCCTCTGGCCCTCATGGAGAGCCAGGAAAACAGAATTGGCACAGACACAGCCACGGGTGCTTCCGTATAAGACAGAGGAGTTGGGTGCTGGGATCAGAACCTCTGTGTGTAGTTGTGCAGGCTGTGCACTGAAAAAGCACCAACCACAACTAAGAGGGCCACGTTCACATTTATCCAACAGAAATAGAATGCAAACCACATGTGTACTTTTCTTTTTTGTGGACATATTTTTTGGTTAATCTCCCCTGAGGATATTTCTTCCATTGATTTTTAGAAAGAATCGGGGGAGAGGGGGAGAAGAAACATCGGTGTGAGAGAGATGGGCTGGGGAATGAACATGAACAGGCAACCAGCAATCAAAACGGGCTGACACTAACTGCTGAGCTACACTGGCCAGGGCTAGCCATATATATATATATATATATATATTAAGTTTAATTGTATATCTTATTTACCCAATATATCTAAAATATTTCAACATGCAATCATTATAAAATATTATTAGTTGTTTTACTTTCTTTTTTTTATACTGATTTTTAGAATCTAGTGTGTATTTTACAGTATGTCTCAGTTTAGGCTAGGCACATTTCAGGGGCTCGATAGCCACATTCGGCCAATAGCATCTGCATTTTCATAGACTGTATCTTGCACAGTCATAGCATTTATAGACTTGAATGTTTATTTCAACTATTTCTTAAGAGTGTCTGTAAAGTGTCTTTAGGAAGCGGTGCCTTTTTCTAAATCATGCCAAAGTGCTGTATAAGCCAATGGTAGGTGTCAGGAAAGGTGCAGAGGAAGGACTGCAGGAGCCTGGAAAGGGATGTGCACAGTCAGCCATGGGGAGGGCTGTCTGGAGGAGGCATCACTGGTGGGCATGAAGGAGGAGTGGGCAGGGATGGGGAAGTGGGCCTCTTTCCAGGGGAGCAGGGCAAGGGATCAGAGTTGAAAGGGTGGGTCCAGCATGATGCCCACCTTCTCTCACTGTCCCCACAGAGGATAGTGACTACAATCCAGCAGAGGATGAGCCCCGTGGCCGACAGCTGCGGCCCCAGCGCCCCACTCCCAGCACACTGAGACCCCGAAGGAGGCCTGGCCGGCCCCGGAAGCTGCCTTGCCTGGAGCCCTCAGACCTCCCAGAGGGTGAGACTTGGTCGTGGAAGGGGCCTTGAGGGTGAGGCTGAGGGGTGACCTCCTTCCCTGCTTGCCTCTGTGGAGTCCTGGCAACAGTGTCCTGTGCAGAGCAGCGTGGCTCAAACCAGGGTGGCCGGCTGGCCTCCTGATAAAGGGGAAATCCCTCTGAGACCAGGCTTGAGAAACCCTGAGTTAAGAAAAGGCACCTCAGCTTTATGAAAAGACTGTTCGGTGGTACGTTGTCACAGAGCAGGAGGAGGTTGAGTCTTTATAGCTGAACTAATAAGATAAGTTTTAAGTATTATTATTGAAATAACAACAAAGTTGCGGCCTGAGACTGTCCAAGGAGCACAAGCTTAGAGCATCACAGCCTGGGGCACCTCGTGGCCATTCATGCCAGCTCTGCCATGTACTGTCTGTGTGACCCGTAGCATGTGACTTCGCCTCTCAAATCCCCTTTTTGTAAATGCAGGTGACGGCACCTGTCTTAGGATTGCTTTGAGGCATAAATATACAGAAAAAGCCATGTGGT